ACTGCATATTATATTTATATTTTATAAAACTCCAAGAAGATTATTACTAAAAAATGTTGTATACATTGAATATGCAAATTGGTAAGTTTTATAAGATGTAATTTAACATTACGTTTAATGAACATTTTTCATTAATAAGTCTTTTGTAGATTTACATGTGTTATTGTAGCATTATTTATATAAATCTGCTTATCATCATATATTAAATTGACTATTAATTAATAATAAAGTGTTAACATTCCAAAATAAATTAGGTAGAAGATCCGCCTATAACCATTTTTATCGTTATTTATATTTGTGATATTTACTGTAACAATCTAGATTTACTGTAGTATCATTATAAATTTTTCTACTTAAGTGCCATTTTAATATCGACAAAACGTAAAAATAATTCAAACAATCAAATTATATTACACAATGATTACATTCGACTATGACCAAATTTTTTTTACAAGAAGGAGAACATACTTCGTTTTCACGATAAAATTCGTTTTTATAACCTATATCTTGTCACTTCGGCTTCTGTTTTAACCTATTCCTACGGAAGTTCGTCATAATTGCATCACAATTTGATATGCTACGAACTTTATTTGAAAAAAGGGTGTGCTATGATTGTGCCACCGAAGTCTACGCAATTGTGAACGATCTTGCGCGCCTGCACGAATGGGCAACCCGTCATACTGACCTGTATGTTGGTGCAACATCCTGTACATGGTGTGAACACAGATCGAGGTCTGTATGATGTAACAGTGCTCATGAACAATGGCACAACTTCGTCGCGTGCTCTTAGCTCTTCTCTTACATAAAAGTACCGCTTTCACTCGACAACGTAATTTTTCAACAACTAGGTGGATTTTCGGCCAATATCTTAGTTTTTCACTAAATAAGTTGGGCGACAGGCACGAGAGAGTGTGCCACTCTTTCCAAAATATTTCTACTTTCAATCAGTTTGTGGCGGCAGGGATGTCAGAGATGGAAAAATTATCGGAGGGCGAGAGAGGTAAGCTATAAGAATCGAAATAGAGAACAATTATATTTGACAACTCATTTACATGCAATCCCCGGAGCTTCTCTCCTTCCGCGGAACTCGACACACTCTACGTTCGCAAGAGAACTCGACAACTTATTTCTAACACCGGACGCCGACTGTACGCTACAGTACGATTTCCTACTTTCTCCGCGGTCACTTTCAATGGTGTCTGATACTCCACTGGCTACTCACCCTATCCTTCGCCAGCCAGCAAGAACTCGTATCCGCGGTACTACCCGCTACTCGGGCGAATAACGCCGACGTGAAGCTGAACGCTAATTCGGGAGCGCGGCCCGATTACAATAATCGTCCCGACGCGACACAACGACAGCACGAAAGCCTAAAACTAATGACTCGACTGTGGCAAGAGAGGCGAGCGCGACTCGACAACTAATAATTCCCCAAAGACTCGAACGACAACAATTCTACAAATAATAATTCCAATGCTTGGGAGGATGGCGCGTGTCTCGCAGATTCATGACTCTACACGGCGGCCATTACCGGCCTCTGTCCGTGACGCGAGCTTTTCTACGCGCAATCCACCCGAAGCTACAAACCCGGATCGGCAGCTTTACAGTAGCGACGGCGACGCTCGTCTCACCCTCGTCGTCCTCTTCCGTCCGTGATACGTCTCGGCAATCTTTCTTACGGCAGCGATCCTCAAACTCCATCGTTAGCGGCGACTTCGCACGTCCCTTACAATTTGTCGGCCCAGTCACAGCACGAATAAGTCCCGAGAGCTCACGGATTCACGCAGGCCGTTCGGTTCCCCCCTCAGGGGGCCGTTACGCAGATTGGCTCCTGCTTATCACGCTGCCCGTGCGTGTCGCACAGATCCTCGCGGCTGTAAATCCTTGCTCTTAAGAGCGCGCCATATAATTCCCTTCCAAGGGCGGCTTCTTCTCTTGGGTCCTGAAACTTCCCGGGCAAGTGTGGGATGTCCTTACAGCTCCTTTTTCAGCTCCATGTCGGAGACCATATGCTCCCGACGGACGTCCGTATGGTCCCTTAGATGGCCGGGAATTCTCGCTCGTACTCTGCAAAGGGTGCGCGACCTAAAAAGGTTTTAGGGCGGCAGCAGATTACAATTAAATATTCAAAACAATACGACCAGCGTATGCGGGCTCCCGTATGGGCGGCCTTTCAATGGAGCATCGCCTCTTCCTTCTTCCTTCCTCTGTTGGAGGATGAGGCGGCATAATTACAGAAACATACTATAATAGCTACCAAGCGTGGCGATTCTAATTTTACTGGTGAAATCAAACACTAAGTCAAAGAAATCTTCACGAAAAGAGGAAAATTGTACAACAAAAACAGATAAATACGGGCCCAATAAATAATTAGCGCACGTTCGCAGGTGCGCCCGCACGCGTGCTCGCAAACATGCTCGCTAGCGCGTTCGTTCTCCGAGCCGATTGTTAGGGGTTATATAAATAGGTTTATTTTGTTAATCACTGATGAAGACTTTGTAAACGAGCAATATTAGTTAATTAATAAAATTCACATTATGTTCACATACGTATACCACTAAAAATCTCAAATGTTTTTACAAAGTCTTCATCAGTGATTAACAAAATAAACCTATTTATATAACCCCTAACGTACTTATAATATAAAATAAAAATTTTTGCTCTGAACTAGTCTTATATATCGTACTTATTTCTACGTTAAAATGTTACAGATTTATAGAGGTATCCAGTCTGAAGATTGAAGAGTCCATAATTGTAAAAATTGTGTGTAAACAGTTCGTCGGTATTTATCGAGAATCAGCTCAGTCCACAATCCATTATAAAAGACAATCCGATCCAGGATTTCATCTATAACCGTCCTATTATATTCTATACCATTAAAAGTCAATATATTATTAGAAAAAAACTAAAATAACATAACAATGATGACAAGTTATTATTCCACTTATGATAATTTATATAGGACAGTCATTTAAATTGGAATCACGAATATTTCACTGATACAATAAAATACTGTTGAATGTTCAACGTTTTAATATGGGTCATAAAATATATGTCGATGGGTGGCACCCAGTTGGACACAGCTCAATTGGACACGAGCCACTCACAGCGCTTGAGACTACAAAGCTCCTAAGCACCGATCGCTGTAATTGGTGTCCAATCGAGCCGTGGTCAATCGGGATAACCCCTATGTCGATGAGTCACGAAATAAACAAGTGTGTTCGAAATTGTTGTTATATCCTCTCTCGGTTTTATCCAGAACCACGGCGAGGACGTGGCGGCCTTTGGTTCCGTTTTTGTTTTTTCGTTTTTTTTTAATTTTTGAAATTTTTTGTATTTTTCTAAATTTTAAATTTTTTAAAGGCTGCTTTTCTTTTTTATTTTTTTGCTGGATTTTAGGTTTCTTTTTGTTCTTTCTTTTTGGTTTCTATTTTTCGTTCTTTATTTATACGTTTTTCTTTGCATTCTAGTCTTGGGTTGTAATTCTTCATTTTGCAGTATTAAATGCAAAGATGCTGCAAATTCGAAAGTATTCTAAAAATAAGATGGAGTACTTTTTCAGTTGATTTTAAATTTTTTAAGCTGAACTTTTCCTTCTAAATAGTTTATTAACGTTGTATAATTTTTTTGTTAACAATGAGGGCTGTCCCCGGGCAGATCGTCGTGTCATCGTTTTATACTCGTCTTGGAGAGTATGTGTGATTTTTTCAAGTCTCTACGCGTACGGTCTTGCTTCTAAATACTTTATTAATGTTGTATAATTTTTTTGTAAACAATGAGGGCCGTCCCTGGACAGATCATCATGTCATCGTTTTATACTCGTCTTGGGGAAGGGGTGATCCCGATTGATCACGGCTCGATTGGACACAACCAATCACAGCGACCAGGTGCTTAGGAGCTTTGTAGTCTCAAGCGCTGTGAGTGGCTCGTGTCCAATTTAGCCGTGTCCAACTGGGTGCCACCACTTGGGGAGCATGTGTGTTTTTTTAAGTCTCTACGCGTATGCGTACAATCTAGCTGCTAAATAGTTTATTAATGTTGTATAATTTTTTTATTAATAATGAGGGCCATCACTTTGCAGATTATTATAAATTTTACATAGGTTAACCTATTTTGTACTACCAGAAATGTGTGACTTGCTTGCAATCGTTTTTTAATGAATTTTATTAATTTTTAATCTTTGGGGCACCCTATTCGCTCCTGGCTGCCTCATTCTGGCTGCTCAGTCTGGTTGCCAGCTTCAGCTGCTTGTTGCGATTGATCACGAGTTGCAAATCACCACGTTGAGATTGACCACGAGTTGCAAATGACCACGTTCCAATTGACCACATTTGCGTTTGACCACGTGATGCAAATGAATATATAATAACCTAACCCTTTTTTTTGGTAAGACGGGAGAAATGCCTACGCATACCCTCGGTCTGTGGGAACGGAGCCGAGGGTTATGTGCACTCACTAAAACCCCCGCCGGTGTCCTTCCTTGGCCTAGATTTGAGGAGACCCTGGGTACGCGTGCAGCATTCTTCCAGGGTCCCCTCAGGCCCACCGACTGACCGTCAGCCCATACCCACGGCAGGGATGCGGGTACCCCGTAGGGCATGACTATTCACTGGCGAGGGGAGACGCCCCTTCGCATCACTCCCTCCCGTTGTTGTATGGGGGAGCAGAGCCGACCCCGGGTTCCCGCCCAGGGCCGACCCCTACGCCCGGCGGGGGCGAGATCGACCTAATGCGTCCCTGCTCCCGTCAGACCCCTACCTCTGGCAGGGGGGCGCATAAGCGGGAGGAAATATCCCCCAGCACCCCACCGCATCTATCCCTCAAGGCCGCGGGCCAAACAGTGAGGCGAGGGCTACCACGCGACCGCCGTCACGGCTTCGGTCTCAGGTTGAACACCCGAGACGTCGACCGCAACGGCGACATCTCCGGGCCTTCACCGCCCGGGGGAGGGTCGCAACTTGGCGCGCCAGGGAAGGCCGGTCCAGCCGCGCCACCACCAGTCACAACGCCATGAGTGGGGGCCGGAAAACCGGCACCGCTACCACGCTCCACACGTCGACGCCTCCCTCCCCTCCTCGTGTTATTCTCTCCCTCTCTGTCTCGGCCTCCTTCCGGAGCATTACTGCCTCGCAGAAGGAGGAGACCGCCTTCCATTCCCTCTCGCTGCGCAACATGGCACTTATCAGAGCCGGCAGCGAGAGGTCTTCTTCGATGTGCCCAGCGAGAGACCCGCGTTCCGAGGCCCACGCCGGGCATTCCTCAACAGTATACGACGCCGAGTCATCTTTAGCGTCGCAATGATGACATCCGGCAGTCGGCTCCTTTCCTATTCTCCGCAGGTACCCACCGAAACACCCATGTCCGGTGAGCACCTGCGTCAAACGGTAGAAGAGGGCACCGTGCCCTCTCTCAATCCACTTCTTCAGATGGGGACTGACGGCCCTCACGACCCTGTTGGCGGCGCACTCCGGACCC